CCTAGTCTGAATCAGGTGTGACAGCAAAGAGAGAGAGGGGAGTACAGAAAGAGAGGTAGAGGGGTAAGAATTAGGATGGGATGTTATTTTATTTTATGTTATTTTAGATATCTGGAATGTTAATTGGAAGAAATGTATTTGAGACACCTGAAATACATATAGCAGCCTAGTGGTTAGGACATTGCACTTTGAACCCAGAGGTTTTGAGTTCCAGCCCTACTTCCACAGACTGCCACTCTGGGTCCCCGTGCAAAGATCCTTAAGCCCACACTGCTTATCGGGTGTCGCACAATGGAAACTCACTGCTCCCCAAGGGGATGGATTAAATGCAGAGAGTGAATTTCGTTGCTCTGTACTTGTGACAGTGTAGTGACAATAAAGTTGGATTCTATTTTACGGTAAAAGCATGAACCTAGATTGATTTGTGGGCCCATTTTTAAAACCTTGTATGGTTTTGAAATTGAGTCTGGTTTTAATTTTTTAATGTTAAATATGTACCAACTGTTGAATTTACTGATTGTAGAACATTTCAAGCCTGATTTGGAAAATTCAGTATAGATCAGAGTGGAATGTATGGTGCTTACAGATAGTAAATACAGATGTCTTTTATTAAAAAAAACAACAAAACAACATTTTATTTTAAATTTATATTTTTAGCACTAATTTTAACCATACTGTAAAATGCAAATGTCAAAAAAAACTAGACTATTCAGTTAAGCTGATAAATATCAAAACAATCTGCCATACAAAGAGAAAGGACAGCGCTTCTCATAAATATCAAACGGCCTGCCATAGAGGGGTAGCCAGAACATCTTTCTCAGGGCGGCCAGAACCCACCAGAACCTCAGTGTCAATCTATACTGTTCAACAGGAAAGTTAACGAGCAAAACATCCAAATTTTCTAAATAAGGACAAATAAATAAAAAGTACATTTTAAGATAATTTGAGGCGAGAATATAATACTTCAAAGGATCACTGTATGGTCCATTTACCGATTTAATGCGTCATTTAAAAAAACTATTTCCGAAGTTGAGAGGACTGTGGCAACCAGTGAGTCTCGGAGGCTAACGGCAGCCCGTCTGCAGCGGCCCTCTCTCTGCATGGTCGTGTATGAAGAACCGCTGGCTCTGATGGCAATTTTTTGACTCGGCTTTGGAATCAGTTTTGGAAGGATTAGACTTGGGGTTTTCGTTGAAACATGAGCAGGAAGAGGCTCTACGCTCATTCATTTCTAAGGAGGACAAATTCACCAATTTACTGACAGCCTGTTGGTTTACATTCCCCCACCAGCTTTCTGTTGCATTTACTACGTCACAGTCAGTTGTGCTCATTGGTCAGAGCGTTGGCCAGTAGGGACAGACATGGTTGGAAAAACAACGGGTTGTTCTCATCAACAATCTTCCGATGTCTCATTCATCGGGGCCAGACTAAATTGCACAAACATGTTTGATTTTCTCCTGACCCTCGTGGGCAAATCGATCAGGACGCATGCGCAAACAAGGATTCTTGTTTTTCTTCTTCCTCTCAGATGTAAACACAGCAGCATGGCAAACCTGCCTCAAAGGTGCAGGTTTCAGGGGCGGAGCTAGATGGGGGGCCAGGGGTGGCCATGGCCACCCATAGACAATCATTGGCCACCCCTGTGGCCATCCCTACCATTTATTTTTTCATACATTAACAATTACTTGACTATAAATACATGGTGGTTAATTATGCACATCAATATACTAACATTAAAAATGATAAGTACAGAATTCAAGCAGAAATAGATTTTGTATATTATAGGGTAAAGAGAAAATCATGTGTCTCTGCAAGTCATCTAGGAGTCTTAAGTGAAATCATAGATAGCTATTTAAATAAAAACTTATTAAATATTCAGTTTATGTAGATATTAGTACTTGTAAACATCCATTTTATGCAGAATGATTACCGATAAAAGTAGGTAAGTAATGACAATGGAAAAGATGTTTGCCTAAAACTCAAACCTGAAATAATTTTATCCACTATACCTTTTATCTAGAAATTATGGATGCTTGAATATATTCATCTATTTCTTAGCAAAGGCTGTGGGAAGTATAGTTTGTCTTTATTTAGAAAACATGGACGTTATTTTGCTTGTTAATTTTCCTGTTGGAGCAGTGTAGATTGTGAGGTTTTGGTGCCATTCTACTGTCGGCCACCCCTCAGTGTACATTGGTCGGTGCCTGGCCACCCTTATAAAAAAATTCTGGCAACGCCTCTGGCAGGTTTGGGGCCCCAGGTGGTTCCCTACTTTTTCTGTATGGTAAGTCCGCCCCTGAATGAGGGTGAATCCACGGAGGAGCCCTGATGTGCCCTCCTGGGATCAGCGCCGCGCTGGGAAGCACCCTCACAGGGTTAAAGGTACAGGACTGTGCGTCAGCTGGTGCGTAAAGAGAAGTGGGCGGGGCCGGCTGGTCCTGGAAACCCGCTGCAGTTCTCCGCATCATCATCTCTTGTCATGTGCCTCTCAGGCTGTCTCTGAATCCACTGCAGGAAGCTGGAGCTGTTTCCTTCCCCGCTGCGCGCCTCTGCTCCCTGACAGCCGCTCCAGCCGCCCTGCTTTCTTCCTGCTTCTCCGGGTTTCCTCCCCTCGGCTCCGGCCTGGGAGCCAGAGAGGCAGGGCGAACACCTCCTCCATCTATCTGTCTCCCCTCAGAGAAACCAAAGAGCTTTTTCTCATGGAGGCCCCGGCGGAGGAGAAGGAGCCGTCACCGATGGAGCAGCCCCTGCCTCTGCCCACCCTGAGCCCAGCCGTGCCCCCCTTTGTGACTCTGGGACTGACGGTGGTTTACACCGTCTTTTACTCGCTCCTCTTCATCTTCATCTACGTCCAGCTCTGGTTGGTGCTGCGGTACCGACACAAGCGCTTCAGCTACCAGACTGTGTTTCTGTTCCTGTGCCTGCTGTGGTCGGCCCTGCGCACCGTGCTCTTCTCCTTCTACTTCAGGAACTTTGTCACGGCGAACACGCTGGGGCCATTTCCCTTCTGGCTGCTCTACTGCTTCCCGGTCTGCCTGCAGTTCTTCACGCTCAGCCTCATGAACCTTTACTTTGCACAGGTGAGTAACCGGGATCAGTCCTCTGCAGGGCTGCAGGAGTATTGCTGCATTCATAGGTCTGCAGGTTGGCAGCATGCATGGTCGGGTAATGGGCACTGAGCCTTATTATTGGCTCAGGTTTAGCAGTCATCCTGAGCTATAGGTTCCTGCAGCCAGAGGCGTAGCCAGAAAATTTTTATTAGGGTGGCCAGGCACTCACCAATGTACACTGACGGGGGCGGAAAGCAGATAGGCACCAGAACCTCATGGTCAATCTTGTTAATGTTCCAACAGGAAAATTAACGAGCAAAACATCCATATTATCTAATTAAATACTAACTATACTTTCCTACAGCCTTTGCTAACAAATAGACGCATATATTTAACCTATTAACATCCGCCTCATTTTGGGTAATCTGTAACCTGACTCCGCCAGATGGATTTGCTCCGCATATCCATCTGGAAACCCTCTGTTGAAGTAANCATGGACGACGAGATGATTGAAAATGAACACAACGGAGATCTAGTCCTATTGGCAGACATCCATTTAAAATGTTGGCAACGGCATGAAAAAAGTGGTTTCTACTTTTATTTTTTACTTTAAGTAAATTTACAAGCCTGTACTTTGTTACTTTTACTTGAGTAAAGAAGTTTAATCAGTACTTCCACTTTTACCAGAGTATTTTTTAACACAAGTATCTGTACTTTTACTCAAGTACGGAAAGTGAGTACTTTTGCCATCTCTGCATATTAGACAGTGGCATCAAAAGTACACACATTTGTTAATTAAGTAGAAGTATAGATGCTGCAGTTTAAAAACACTCTGGTAAAAGTTGAAGTATCAGGTTGACTTAAAGTATAAAAGTATTTAAAAAACAGCCAGATGCCAATATATGAATTGAAATCTCAATAGTGGAATAGTGATATTCTGCTGACTGTCGTGGGCAAATCGATCAGGGCGCATGCGCAAACAAGGATTCTTCTTTTTCTTCTTCCTCTCAGATGTAAACACAGCAGCATGGCAAACCTGCCTGAAAGGTGCAGGTTTCAGGGGCGGAGCTAGATGGGGGGCGAGGAGTGGCCATCATCATTGACCACCCCTGTGGCCATCCCTACCATTTATTTCTCTCTCATACAGAACAGTAATAATCTCAAGTGGAATATTCAAAACACTTAAATTTTTCATATATTAATAATTACTTGACTACAAAAACACGGTGGTTAATTATGCACATCAATATACTAACATTAAAAATGATAAGTACAGAATTCAAGCAGAAATAGATTTTGTGTTTTATGGGGTAAAGAGAAAATTATGTGTCTCTGCAAGTCGTCTAGGAGTCTTCAGTGAAATCATAGATAACTATTTTAATAAAAACGTAAATAGTCAATTTATGTAGATATTAGTACTTGTAAATATCAATTTTATGCAGAATGATTACCGATAAAAGTAGGTAAGTAATGACAATGGAAAAGATGTTTGCCCAAAACTCAAACCTGAAATAATTTTATCCACTATACCTTTTATCTAGAAATTATGGATGCTTGAATATATTCATCTATTTGTTAGCAAAGGCTCTTGGAAGATATAGTTTATTTAGAAAACATGGATGTTATTTTGCTCTTTAATTTTCCTGTTGGAGCAGTGTAGATTGTGAGGTTTTGGTGCCATTCTACTTTCGGCCACCCCTCAGTGTATATTGGTTGGTGCCTGGCCACCCTTATAAAAACATTCTGGCAACGCCTCTGGCAGGTTTGGGGCCCCAGGTGGTTCCCTACTTTTTCTGTATGGTAAGTCTGCCCCTGAATGAGGGTGAATCCATGGAGGAGCCCTGATGTGCCCTCCTGGGATCAGCGCCGCGCTGGGAAGCACCCTCACAGGGTTAAAGGTACAGGACTGTGCGTCAGCTGGTGCGTAAAGAGAAGTGGGCGGGGCCGGCTGGTCCTGGAAACCCGCTGCAGTTCTCCGCATCATCATCTCTTGTCATGTGCCTCTCAGGCTGTCTCTGAATCCACTGCAGGAAGCTGGAGCTGTTTCCTTCCCCGCTGCGCGCCTCTGCTCCCTGACAGCCGCTCCAGCCGCCCTGCTTTCTTCCTGCTTCTCCGGGTTTCCTCCCCTCGGCTCCGGCCTGGGAGCCAGAGAGGCAGGGCGAACACCTCCTCCATCTATCTGTCTCCCCTCAGAGAAACCAAAGAGCTTTTTCTCATGGAGGCCCCGGCGGAGGAGAAGGAGCCGTCACCGATGGAGCAGCCCCTGCCTCTGCCCACCCTGAGCCCAGCCGTGCCCCCCTTTGTGACTCTGGGACTGACGGTGGTTTACACCGTCTTTTACTCGCTCCTCTTCATCTTCATCTACGTCCAGCTCTGGTTGGTGCTGCGGTACCGACACAAGCGCTTCAGCTACCAGACTGTGTTTCTGTTCCTGTGCCTGCTGTGGTCGGCCCTGCGCACCGTGCTCTTCTCCTTCTACTTCAGGAACTTTGTCACGGCGAACACGCTGGGGCCATTTCCCTTCTGGCTGCTCTACTGCTTCCCGGTCTGCCTGCAGTTCTTCACGCTCAGCCTCATGAACCTTTACTTTGCACAGGTGAGTAACCGGGATCAGTCCTCTGCAGGGCTGCAGGAGTATTGCTGCATTCATAGGTCTGCAGGTTGGCAGCATGCATGGTCGGGTAATGGGCACTGAGCCTTATTATTGGCTCAGGTTTAGCAGTCATCCTGAGCTATAGGTTCCTGCAGCCAGAGGCGTAGCCAGAAAATTTTTATTAGGGTGGCCAGGCACTCACCAATGTACACTGACGGGGGCGGAAAGCAGATAGGCACCAGAACCTCATGGTCAATCTTGTTAATGTTCCAACAGGAAAATTAACGAGCAAAACATCCATATTATCTAATTAAATACTAACTATACTTTCCTACAGCCTTTGCTAACAAATAGACGCATATATTTAACCTATTAACATCCGCCTCATTTTGGGTAATCTGTAACCTGACTCCGCCAGATGGATTTGCTCCGCATATCCATCTGGAAACCCTCTGTTGAAGTAA